AGGGGACACGGGTTCGTGCCCCAGTCTGGGAAGATCCCACATGCCACGGAGCGGCTGGGCCCGTAAACCATGGCCGCTGGGCCTGCGCGTCCGGAGCCTGTGCTCTGCAACGGGAGAGGCCACAACAGTGAGAGGCCCGCATACCGCATAAAAAACAAAAACAAACAGACAAAAAAAGATAGGACTCAAATAAATAATGTTATAAACAAGAGAGAAGAGTTCCATTATTGCAGAGCAGGCAATGGAGAATTTGGAGCAGAAAGGCAGTAAATAGTTGGTACAATGTTTATAAATCCCTCTAATACATTAAAATTAAATAAAAGTAGGCTAAAATGTGGACTGATGAGAACATCATGAATCATGGATTATGATTAATCCACTTTTGTCCAAAGAATTTTTAAAATTTAATTCCTGGAAGAATACAAAAGAAGTGACAGCAAGGGAAAGCAGATGGTTATAGGACTAGATATTAGGGAAGATTTTATTTTCACGTTATTTTGGGTAATTTTTGAACTTTTATAGTATCTGCTTTTATTTCCCATTTTTTTTAACTACAAAATTAATGTAACATCAGAACAGACACACACTTTCATGGTTGGGAATCTACCAACAGAAACATAAGAATGACAATCTAAGAATGTTTATTGCACGGTCATTTCTGGTGAAAAAGAAGTAGAAACAATTTGAATGTCTACAGTAGGGAATGGCTCAAAATACTGGCATACATCCCATAGTAGAAATATTCTGAAACTTTAAAAAGAATGAGTCAGATCTACAGTATTGACCTTGGAAAATATCCATGATTATTTAAGTGTAAAGGGCAAAATACCACGAAATATGTCACTATAGTGGGTAAATCCTTTCACAGACATGCAATAAACCCTTCATATGTGCAGATATGTTTGAGCACAAAGGAAGAAGCAACACACATACATATTGGTTATTTCAGGGATTTGTGGGAGGGGAAGAAATTGTTTTCATTTTATTTCTGGCCCACTTCACTGGTTTCAGTGAAAACAAATAGTTTTATAAAATTTATTTCCAGTACTGATCATTACAATAATTCAGAAATAGCACTGATACCAGAGCAATTTTTTTCCTTTTAATAATTTTTCCATTTTCCCACTTGAAAAAAGAAAGAGTTCAAAGGTTACTAAAATAAATCAATACTAATTAAACTCAGTATTTTACCAACATTTTCCTTAAAGAAATAAAAAGTATATCTCCAAAAATAATTTCATGATACTAGACTAGGATGGGGAGAGAGGAAAACTTACTGATGTCTCAACAGTATGAAGTGTCTGATGTACATTAAATTGTAAGCCATGGTTAATGGCCTTCCCACATTCATATGGTTTCTTCCCAGAATGAATTCTCTGATGGTGTGAGAAGCTTGAATGATAGCTAAAGGTCTTTCCACATTCCTTACATTCAAACGGCTTCTCACCAGTATGAATTCTCTGATGTTGGATAAGGTGTGAATGAAGTCTAAAGGCCTTACCACATATACATTTATGAGGTTTCTCACCAGTGTGAATTCTCTGATGTCTTTTGAGGTGTGAGCACTGCCTAAAAGCCTTCCCACATTCCTTACACTCAAAGGGTTTCTCACCAGTATGAATCCTCCGATGTACAGTAAGTTGTAAGCCATCACAAAAGGCCTTCCCACATTCACTACATTCATAAGGTTTTTTGCCAGAATGAATTTTCTGATGGTGAGAGAAGCTTGAGTGATAGCTAAAGGCCTTTCCACATTCTCTACATTCATAGGGTTTCTCACCAGTGTGAATCCTCTGGTGTATTGTAAGGTGTGATCGATGTCTGAAAGTCTTTCCACATTCTTTACATTCATAGGGTTTCTCACCAGAATGGAGTCGCAGATGTTCAGTAAGTTGAAAGCCACGAATAAAAGCCTTCCCACATTGCTTACATTCATAGGGTTTTTCACCAGTATGAAGTCTCTGATGTTGAGTAAGCTGTGATCGCTGCCTAAATGCCTTCCCACATTCCTTACATTCATAAGGTTTCTCACCAGTGTGAATTCTCTGATGTAGAATAAGTTCTGAGCCATAATTAAAGGCCTTCCCACATTCTTTACACTCATAGGGTTTCTCATGAGTATGAAGTCTCTGATGTATGGTAGGGGATGATCGAGGCCTGAAAGTCTTTCCACATTCTTTACATTCAAAGGGTTTCTCACCAGTATGGAGGTGCAGATGTTTAGTAAATTGAAAGCCACAAATAAAAGCCTTCCCACATTGCTTATATTCATAGGGTTTTTCACCAGTATGAAGTCTCTGATGTTGAGTAAATTGTGATCGCTGCATAAAGGCCTTCCCACATTCCTTACATTCATTGGGTTTCTCACCAGTGTGAATTCTCTGATGTAGAGTAAGTTCTGAGCCATAATAAAAGGCCTTGCCACATTCTTTGTATTCATAGTGTTTTTCACCTTTATGAATTCTCAAATGTTGTTTAAGTTGTGAGCAATGAATAAAGGCCTTCCAACATTCCTTACATTCATTGCACTTGTTACTATTTTGAATTCTCTGTTGTTTAGTAAGGTATGATGTATCAACAGTTTCTGCACATACCTTACATACAGAAAGTTTTTCTTTAGAATGAGTTTTGTGATGACTAAAGAATAAATGGTAACTGAAGTTTTTTCTACATTCTTTACATTCAAAGATTTTCTGTCTATTATAAAATTCCTGAGTGAACAAAATATGTTGGCTAAAAATGGGCATGTGTTCATGGTTGATAATAAACTGCCTGAAATAGCCCTTCTGTTTTCCCTGTTGTCTCTCAAACTGACTTTTGCATGCCCAAATATCTCTGAAAATGGATTTCTCAGGACTATGGCTTTTAAATGGTTCCATGATAGCCCATTGGGATGATTCTGTCTCATAAATGTTTCTTTTTGGAGATAACTTCTTGGACTCACGCTTGGACACCAAGTCTGAAAGATAAGAAACACATTTTAATTGCTAGTTTTGTGTTACAAGAGAATTGAAATACCTCTGGTAGAAAAGAGAGAGAACTGAAAATAATTCACATAAGAAATGAAAGGGTTGGGGAGCTCTTAAATACCATCATGCAATTGAATGAAAATAGAGTAAGGAGAATGCAAAGAAATGAAAGCTCATGAAAGAAAAGTGAGGGAGTTAATTAACAAGTCAAGTCAGTGGTTCTGAAATTTTGATCCACTTCAGCATCACCTTGGGAATTTGTTGCAATTATGGATGCTTACAAAACATTCTAGATCACCTGAATCAGAGTCTACAAGAGTCTGTATATTTTAATACTCTCCACCAGGCCAAAGGATTATGTGATATCTGCTAGTTGTCCCCAAACATCTATTATTCCCCTTTTGTACACTGATTGAACCCTTGGCTTTTAGTTGAGAACAGGCTGCCCAATATAAACATTGCACTTCCCAAGACCCTTTGCAGCAGAATATGCCATGTAACTGGATTCTGCCTAAAGAAGTGCAGAAGTATTATGTAGTAGCTTCTGAGAAGGCTTTTTTTAATTTTTAAAAATTTTTATTTATTTATTTTTGGCTGCCTTGGTCTTCGTTACTGCCATGGGCTTTCTCTAGTTGTGGTGAGCGGGGGCTACTCTTTGTTGCAGTGCACAGACTTCTTATTTGGGTGGCTTCTCTTGTTGCAGAGTACGGGCTCTAGGTGTGTGGGCTTCAGTAGTTGTGGAATGCTGGCTCAGCAGTTGTGGCTTGCGGGCTCTAGAGCGCAGGCTCAGTAGTTGTGGTGCATGGGTTTAGCTGCTCTGCAGCATGTGGGATCTTCCCAGACCAGGGATCGAACCCATGTCCCCTACATTGGCAGGCGGATTCTTAACCACTGCACCACCAGGGAAGTCCTGATAACTTTAAGAGTAAGCTTGCCCACACCCTATATCTGTTATTCTTCTGATTCCTCAGCAAAGCCAGCTGCAATGTGCATTTGATGTCATGTCTGTCACAGATGATTTTGCAGAACAGAGTTGCCACTCCAGCCTGGACTTTAATGAAAGAGAAAATTAACCCTCTATATAGTTTAAACTACAATTATTTGGGGGTCTCTGTCACATACAGCCAAACCTATATCCAAACAAATACAGCCTTCCATTGAACTGTTTGAGACCAACAGCTACATAAAGCATTCTATGCTAACGTAATTTATTTTTCCATTTTCCTGATCATTTGGGTTGTTTCCAGTTGTTGGCTATTATGGTTAGTACCACTATCAACATCCATGCACATTTCTTTTGGTGGAAACAGGACTCCTTTCTTCTAGGTGTGAAAATACTGCATCAGATGATATGCATTTGTTCAGCTTCAGTTGACACTATGCAACAGTTTTCTAATTTACAACTCCATCAAACTCTAAAAGAGTTCCTGTTCTTCATATCCTCAGCAACATTTGTAATTGTCAATCTTCTTTTAAGCATTCTGGCAGATGTGTTGTGATATTGGATTGTGGTTTAATTTGTAATTTTGCAGGCTGAATACTTTGCCATATGTTTATTGGCCAACTGGGTATCTTCTTTAATAAATTGCCTATGCAGGTGTTTTGTCCATTTTTATTAATTTTTTGGGCAATAAATACATACAAAATCCACCATTTTAACCATTTTGAAGCATACAATTCAGTAACTTATAGTACATTCTCACTGTTGTGCAACCATCCAATCCCTAATTCCAGAATATTTTCATCATGCCAGAAAGAAACCTCACACCCATGATCATGTTCTATTCTCCTCCCCGCCCCACCCCCAGCAACCACCAATCTGCTTTATGTCTCTGAATTTCTCAAGAAATTTCATAAACACAAAATCATACAATATGTGACCTTTTGTGTCTGTTCTCACTCAGTATGTTTTCAAGGTTCAGTGATGCTGTAGCACATATCAGTACTTCATTTCTTTTTATGGCTGAGTTATATTTTATTGTACAGATAACCATATTTTGTTTATCCATTCTCCAGTTGAGGGACATTTGGGTAGTTTCTGGGTTGTATTTTTCTTTTTGATTTGTAGGAATTCTTAATTTATTCTGGATATAACCAACTACATAATGCAAGTATCTTTTCCCACTCTGGGGCTGGCCCTTTTGCTCTCTTAATACTATGTTTTGATAAACAGAAATTCTTAATTTTAAGATAGTCTAATCCCAAGTTCATAAAAATATACTCATATAATCTTCCAGAAGCTTTTACTATTTTACCTTTCATATTTAGATCTATAATCCACCTAGTGTGAGGTAGAAATCAAGATTCTTATTTTTCAATAGATATCAGCACCACTTACTGAAAAGATCATCCTTTCCCTGACTCTGTGTTATATCAAATGACTTTGTATGTTAGTCACTTTCTCTGTAATCCACTCCAATAAATATTTCAACTCCCATAGCTCTGTTGAAACATTTCTAGCTAAAGTAACTAACAAAATTACTTTACCAAAATCAGTGCTCAAATGCCAGTCAACACTCTATTTGACTCATTAGTAGCATCTGACACAACTGATCAATCCCTTTGCTCCCTGTATACCATATTCTCCTGGTTATCCTCCTACCTCTCTACTTATATTCACTTCCCCTTAATGAATTCTCCTCCACTTCCTGACCTCTAAATGTTGGAATGTCCCAGAAC